TCATTTTAATTCATCCTCTGGTTGAGCTATTTCCCTGGTCGTCCTGCTCTGCTCAGTCTCCTGGTCTCTACTCTATATCTTAATTCCCCTCTGATTGGTGGAACTGAAAGAAACACTAAAGAAATATAAAAAAACCTGCATCTACAAAGTTTCCTCTGCACCAAACGATCACTAAATTTCACTGTCTTTGAAGCAAAAAACCCTCATTCATTCTGCATTGTTAGAATCACAATGAACATGAAGAGGTGGGATTGATGTAGGCGGCTAATCAAATGTTTTTCTTCAAACACAAGACAACCTTTACTTCCTCTGTTCTCTTCCAAAGTTAGATAACCCAATATTGTTTGTTACAATGGCTGACAGCATTCTGTCTTCCTGTCGCAGCACCTGTCCAGTCAGACTTAAATGGGCCAGAATGGACAGAAGAAAGGATGAGGCACAGGCAATATGGTTGGAATTGTTAAAGTATGTTTGAGAGACAGCCAAAAGAGACAGACCCACAAACTGGGCCAAAAGAGAGCTCGTTGAATGGTGTGTGCATGATGCGTGTGTATTTAGGGGGCAGCAAGGCTGGGAGATGTCAACATTTTTTCTTCCGAGTGCCCATCTCCATTTGCATAATTTCCATTCCCCACGAGCAACAAAGAAAGGAAGGAGATGCTCATACAAAAACTAAATTGACAAGGGAACAATGGTGGTCTGAAGGGTCATTTTGAGGGGGCTAAAATTTCCTAAATCATGGTTTAATATTTTGTCAGGTTAGTTTTGGAAAAAGCTATTTTGCCAAAGCTCAGTCAGACCCCTGCTTTGTATGATTTGACGAGCACAGTACTTGAAACCTGAATAGTTCTCCAATAATCGAAAGAGAAAACAATGCCTTTTATTTCTCAGCTGACTTTGCTGCAAGACAAAAATGAGCAGCAACCGATACAGGCACAGCGGATGGTGGACATATCAATGATTAATGCTCATCCTAACAAAGTTGAGTTTGAGATGCGTAATTCACTGAAGACCCCCCCACCCCCTCCCTGCCACACACACACACACACACACACACCCCTCCACGTCACATCAAAAAAGCAATCCAAGGAACTACAGCTCGGATGGACAGTTGCGCATCAATGGCACACATGTTCGTTAAAGGTTTGAGTTAACTGGAAAAGTTTACAAACTAGGTCAACATATAAAGAGGGGTAATGAAAATTACAGATATTTGTGGTTGCTGTATGGAATGTTTTGGGAAAGCTCAGATGGGTAAAAAGTGCACACACAGCTGGCAGAGGGGCAGGTGTACGGAGCAAGAGGGCTGAAGCGAGGGCGAATGAGCGGGCGAGCAGGCAAAGATGGATGATGGATGGTGTTGATACAGGAGGCAGCAGCCCTGCTTTATCTAGGCAGCACAAGCCAGACCTGCTGGGGTGATGGGTTGGCTGTCAGCCCTTTGTTTATGGACCACCACCCATCTCCCATCTCATATATGCCCCAAAAGCCTAGATCACTCAAAATGGCTAATACCTCACTGCTCTTTGTCTCCCCATCTCTGACTCTCTTCTTTTTTCATTTTTTCCCCAGCAAATGCTACTATGTCTTCCCAAGTTTGTTTCAGATGTACAGTAGCAAAGAAGCATAAAAAGTGACAATCTCTCTCCATTGGTTGGCAAGTGAGAAAAAAATAAATATGACATTAATTGTAATATTTTTAACTGTTGATAATGAAATGTGTCTTCCAGACATTTAAGTCCACGGAGGAGGAAAGAGAAGAAAGAGAGCAGGGGAAGAAGTGAACCTAATCCAACCATATCCCCACGAGTTGCACGCTTCCAATTAACGACTGGTTGGTTTATCAGTCTCCGACGGGTGATTGCTGTTTTTAATCATTTTCTTTCTCTACACGGTTTCTTCCTCTCTATCAGTTCTTCCCACTCTTATCATCTAACCCCCTCCTCGCGCTGTCTTGCTTCCCACCCCTTCTCTGTTCAACGCTGCCTTCGTTTCATCATGTTTCTCATGGAGCCGCACTCTCACACTGTGTCCAGCACTGGAGCTGTATGCTAAGTAAAAACTTTGATGTGCGATGTGTTAATGTTCTTTTGACCATTGACACAGCACCGTCCACAAGGAATTATCCAGCTGCACGTACCATCTTATTAAATTAAAACTCCCAATCAACTTTAAGAAACAACAGCACTAGCCTGAATGATAAAGACACTAAAGTCAAATCAAATAATGGGACAGAGATCCATGCGCTGACCCACAGTACTGGTCGATAAAGTTTGAGTCTTTGGCTCAGGACAACAGAGGGTATGTTTTGGCCTCTTGTCTTGACTCATCCAGAAACACAGCTGTGGTCCTCTGAAAAAAAAATTCAACAACCACCTTCTCTTTCACCTGCCTTTGTTAGTGTGATTGATTTGGAAACCTGAAATGTGCCTGTCACATTGATCGATCTGTCTACTTGATGGGGGCTTTATCCCTCCGCCTGTTGGCATGGTAATAAATGGGGGATGACGGGCAGTTGACAGAGCAGCAGTTATGGCTTCTTTAATTTACCCCGACACCTCACACTGACAGAGACCCATAACAGGGTGACACGGCTCTGTAATGGTTACGCTCAGTCACCTTTTTGTCGGACTGAGAGAGGGAATGGGGGGGTCTGGTGTGTGTGGATTTTTGGGTTTGTGTGAGCTTTAATGTGCGTAGAGGTTCACTGATTTGATGTTGTCTCTCCTCCCTCTGGTCAAGGTGTTATTGAGAATGGGGCTGTTATCTCTGTCCATGAGGCCACCCGCTGCCTCACTAATGGCAGTACACCACCCCTACCAATCCCAGCGAGCCGAGCTGTGTGTTCGGGTGGGTCGCTAGCCACATCCTCCTAGGTGGGCTATAACTCATCTCCAGACGGTGATAGGGCCTTATCTCAGTCCCCCTCCGCAGGCCTGGCCCTCGCCTGCTCTGTCTTAGGGAAAAGATTTTCTGGTTCCCCCGTTGTGTGAGTTATAGTTGGGGTTAAGGTGACTGAATAGGCCTGTCTGTTTGGGTTGTCTTAGTGAATTTATGTCTGTGTGGGCAGAGGAATGTGAAGGTGCATGTGTGTGCATTTATACAGTATGTGTTTGTCTGTGTGACGGGGATTTATTTACTATGCAAACATACGTGTGTCATCTCATCCCCAGTCAGCCTATGCATCCCATCCTATAAGGTGAAACACTATTGTCATAAGTTCTTTAATCATGTGAAGGGCATCGTTACAGTTGCATCCGAGGGTTGCCCCTCCCTTCACATGCGCACATACCCACCGCCACCCCCACCACCAAGCCGCCTCTCTCTGTCATCTCGGCCTATCAATCAAAAATGTATTAAGTCCGGAGTCGGGGCCGATCAAAGGCAGAATTCCTGGGAGGAGAGCAGATAAGGCCTATCTCATTAATAAGTGCTTTACCATCGTAGGGGCCCGCGCGCCTCGCCACACCCTGACTGCCTTCCTTTGATATCTAATTATCCATCCGTTTCATTCTGTCAGAGAGGGAGGAGAGGACGACTCATAGTGTCATCACAACCAAATACTGTTGCGTGTGTGTGTGTGTGTCTGTGTGTATCAGGATCTGGGCAAGGGGTGCACCAAAACATCATGACATGCAGCAAATCCAAATGTGCAGAGAGTGGCACATGTAAACAAATGCAAATAAGATGTTCTTGGAAAGGCAACTGGGCCCACTTCTGTATGGCACCCCTCCTGAAAAGCTGTCATGCATATGGTGTGAGCCTGAGATGGAGAGAGGGATCTATTTTACAGAGGGTAACGCTAACAGCCAACTGCTGCTGAGACTCAGCGGCGGCTTACAAATCTACCTTTTAGCAATCTGTAGGAGCAATGAGCTCTAACAGCGCTCCAAAGAGCTGAAGACGGATAAGATAGTAGTGGGTGAGGAAAGAAACAAGATATTAAAACATCAAGGTAAGATATTGAGGAAAGGGGACAATGGAACAGTGCAAGGGTTAAGAGGATTTTTAAGAAGCGCCGGGTATAGACTGGTGGACAAAAGAAGAAGAAGAAATGAAGAAGGAAGGGAGAGGCAGACAGGAGAAATGAGAGAATGGGAAATGGGAGGGAGAGAAAGAGCAAGGCATTCTTTTCCCTTCTCTCCTTGGTTTTCTGTAAGAGTAGCTCAGGAAGATAAGGCTAAAAGGTCCGTCCATGGAACAATCCATTCTGTGTCTCTCTCCTTTTTCTCTCTCTCTCAAGATACTGCCTTTCTCTCTGTCTAATGGCACAACTCAGATTTCGAGCGATGCCTCTTGTGATATGGCTCATCTCTGGTGGCGTGGTTTACTGACATCACTTGTCCAATACAATATACTCTCATCTCATAAAGAGCAAACCAGCCCCGAGTCTAATGCAACAGTAAAATTCTGCATACGCTCTGGGCTATTTCTCTTTAAAGAACAAACCTTCAATATAACTAATATTCAAAGCAGTGTAATTTATTGATAAAAAGAAACACAATTCAAAGCTACAATAAAGTGCTGAAATTATGTCTTCATTTTACCGAGCCGTTCAAACCCTCATCCCTAATCGCTCAAAGCAGAGCTCAGAGACAAACACAAACCAAGGAGGATTTAGAAGAACAAAACCGAGACAAAACACAGACCCGCATGCTTAACAAAGACTCCAAAGTCTGCCTCCCCATCCCGTGTCCTCTTTTAAAAGGAGACCTTCATCTCTCGCCGTTCTTGTTATGAAGAGACTTTCTTCAAGAGGAGAAAGGAGGTGTGTCAAAGACATGGGTCACAATGTTTACGAAGGCTACTTTTAATCCAATCACAGCATCCCCGTGCTTTTATTTCCTGTTTCATGGGATTACAATTAAATGAAACATAATAAAAACACAAAATTAATTTATGGCTGAATAACATATTTTTCTGTTTTAAAGGGATGGGTTTAAAGACTGAGAGGGAATCTACAAAGACAGTAATTAAAGTAAAAGAAGCTAATTAGTTTCTTAGACTTTAAATTTTATTTGGTATTTTGATGCAAATACAGCAAATGGCCAACAATCACTGAATGTCATTAGCAAAACTTCACAAAGTCTAAGTTCTTTCTATTCAAAAAGAAAAAGTCCTCATCCCTCATCTTAAGTTACGACACCAGTTAATCAGCAAATAATGAGCTGTGAATACATGTGTCTCTCTTTCTCCCTCTCTCTCTCTCCCCCTCTCTCTCTCCGTTCTGTCTCTGACCTGTTGTGAAGCTGCCTGAGGGTTTAAATAACTGTCTGGTGCCAGGCTGCCTCACCCCAAGGCCTTATGGGAGATGAAGAAGAGGTCAGCAGAGGTGTGTGTGTGTGGGGGCGGCAGAGGAGGGTGATGTGTGTCTTGTGTGTGTGTACATGTGAAGGTGTTTGCCCTTGCCTTGCAAGACACTAGAATAAGTGGAAAGAGAGACGAGTATTCCAGTCATGAGACCCAGAAGGCTACACAACAGAGAACAACCAGTAGCAGAAAATCATGCGAAACGGATGGCAAATTTGGCTAATTCTACTGGCTAAGTTTGGATCTACATTTAAGCAAATGACAGATTCACAATAACAAAAAAATAATTTGAATCAAATTTGGACTCGGATATTCACGCATATTCAGATGCTATATTCTCACAGTACACACACAAGAACTGGACTGCAGCTGCAGCAGCTTTCAGTCACCCTCTCCTCTCCTCTCACTACTGGGTGTGAGAGAACACCTCAGACCCACAAACAGATGAAAGAGAGGTCAAAGGCTGGAATGAACCTCTTCTATGGCTGACCAGGGCTAGAGGGGCTGCCGGCCTGGGTGGCACTGCCTACACCCCCGGGTGAACGGGTCTGGTTGTGATTTGGTTCAGAGGACATTAAGACACAGCAGAGTCTTCCTTCGATTTCTTCTTTGTTCCCAGGATGCCTTGGCTAACGTGGGTTAGGAAGGGGTGACAGAGAGGTCAGGGGGGCTCCAGTCAACTGTGCCCTGAGGGTGAATCCTGGGGAGGGACAGCAGAGTGGTAGTTGACAGATAGGGAGAGCGGGGCTATCCCTCAGGAGCCTTGCCCCTCCCAAATCAAAACAAACAAACAGAGAGTTCCTCTGATCTAATCTGGCTGGACTAAAGCCCTCCAAACAGACCGCTTGGACCAGCTACTACACTGGACGGCAAACTCTTTAAGACTGAACACAAAGAACATGTTTGACTTATTTACAGATGTTACAACTATTACTGTAATAGTGTAATGTAACTTATAACATGAGTTTATATTTACCGGCATCCAGTTGTGCTTGTGCACACACCGCAGGGTAACAGCATTTCATGACTACTGCCTGGGAACGCCAACAAGTTTGGCTCTTTAAATTCTCACCCTAAACATTTCTTCAGTTTCTGTTTTGAAACTTTGCTATGGTTTAAACAGTAGACTAAACTTCTCACTGGCTAACTGTTACTCAACACAATGCTAAACAAATTCCTCTTCCTCAATAGTGCACCCACCAATTGCAGAGAAGTGTTCTGTCAGCTGACCAGCGAGAAAAGATGAGGGTGAGATTAGTCCAATCAGGGGTCAGGCTGAGGTTATCACAACCACTCCAAAACTAAAACAGATGGAGAACGAAGTTCAGCACGACTCAACATCTACTGTCGGAGTCATATCTTTAGGCCATGTATTCTCCAGCTCCGCTGGACTGGAAGAATGTCAGACTTACTTTTGAATTCTGGGTCATGTTGCTTTAACAAAACAGAGTGTGGATCAGCAAGTCTGAGGCATATGATACGACACATAATAAGACACGTAAATCTTACCCAAAAGTTAGAGCTCTCTGTCCTTTACAGGGACGAATGCGACATAGAAACAACAAAAGATGCGAAATAAAGCCCCCCCCCCCCCACACACACACACATGCACACACATACACACAATGTTCAGATGCCTCTTTCTGTATGTTCATGATCCCATACATTTTTAGATAATTTTCACAAACACACATCTGAAACAAGTTCACTTTCATTTTAAATAGGGACTGAGATTACCCACCTTTTTAGGTTAAGTTACAACACAGTATTTGTTGTGGTTGTGAGGGTTTATGATAATCAAAGATATCCACCTTTTTTATGCAGAGTAAAAGCCAGTCTTCAACTGGTTTCGTGAAGTACAAATGAAAACTTGTCTAGGTGCCCCAAACATCATTCATTCGTGTCGTCAGTCTGCTCTTGCTCTACCCCCCCACTTTGTCTATTTTTGCACAATTGTTTGCTTGTTTTCTTCATTATCTCTTCATCTGGAATCCAATTCCCTGCAGTGCTAAACATAAGGCCCCTCTCAGTCTCTTTCTCCATCTTTCGCTCTCCAACTCCTTGCACCTAGATGAGATGTAATTGTGATTATCAGCGCCATGACAAGAGGACACAAGACTTAAGCCATGATGGAAAAACAAACAAACAAAACCGACAAGATAAAATGATGGAAATATGTACAACTTCTTATCACAGATGTTAATTGTTTCCGTGTGGGAGGGGAGGGTGGCCGTGCAGAGGAGCCGGGCACGTGAGGGAGGGAAAGAGGAACTTGAGAATATCCTCCCTGTGCGTTTGGCCTGCGCCTGACTTCAGAGCTAAGCCCTCTCTCAAGAGAAGGTCAACACCAGGTTCAACTTTTCACCTCGGCAGCCTGAGAGAACATACTAAATACTAAGGATTACACCACGGTGCGCTGCAACATCGCCTAGATCTACACGGCACAGTGGTACATCTTCAACATGAAATATGAGTGCATGTGCTGAAAAAGCAATAGCAGAAATCTGCCTAATTATTATTATGAATAACTGCAGCAGATATGCAACAGCTGTACTTAAATTGCATTTAAACCATGCAGGTTACATTTTCTTTAGTCAGATTACTTGCAAAATACTTTTTGATTAAATTCTGGTGACACCCATTAACTCACAAAGTCAGCGGAACATCAAAGGCGACAAAGCCCCATGTAAACCTCCTGTACTGGAAGGACGACTGGGCATCCTACAGCTGCAAGGAGTCGATGACCCCTAATTTGACTTTTAGGCACCATGTCTAGTGGTACAATGTATACGTGATTGTGTGTATGTGGGTATGGCGATGTCAACGCCGGTCAGGTGTAACGATACAGACAGACAGACAGACAGACAGGCAGGCGGCCGGCTGGCGTCAGCGGCCACACGCCTGTCACGACACACCACACGCCGGGAGCCACATACCGCAGCACCCACACTGCGTACGCACAATGAGCGCTCAGTCCCCCGCATCACGCACCAGCGGCAGCAGCAATGTGAAATATTCACACAGGGACAAAAGGTAGAGAGACAGGCGGGGGGAAGGGGAGGGGGAGACCTGGGAGGTAAGGACAAAGGAAAGGGTTCAAGAAAGTGCAGCTGAAATGGAAATGACATAGACTTTGACAAACTTGTGACAAACTTGTAGCAATCACACAAATGTCTCACTGCACAGCTGCATTTTTGCATTTTCAAGTTTTGCACGCAACAAGAAAAAAGTTCATAGGGACAGTTGTTTGAAAGTGCAATATTAATTTTGAGATTTACTTTGCTCTATAGTGTACCCTATAGTGAGAAAGGCATCACTGTTATGTAATGTAATGGCCTTCATTTTAGAGTGATTTTACAACTACTTTAATTTTCATCTACTGCAATAATCATAAGTACAGCTGAAACTATTAATCTGTTACGCAATAAGTCAATCAACAGTTAATTAATCATCAACAATTTTAATAATCAAGCAATCGTTCAAGTTATATATAAAGGAAAAATTCTAGCGTCTCAGACTTGAAGGATTTGCTTCTTTTCTCTCTTTTGCATGATTGTAAATTGAACGTCTTTAGTTTAAGTACAAAATAATTTTTACATGTCACTTTAGGCTCTGGGAACAAGTGACATTTTATATACTAAACAATACATATATAAATGATTAATTAATATTATATAAATAATAATAATAATAATATATAAGTGATATGTAGCTGCATGAATAAAAACTATTTTAATTCAGTCACTTACGCAACAGATTGCAGTAGTTAATATTAGTAATAGAACTTTCTAGATAAACAATTTCTCTTTAAAATTTAACTTTAAAACAGTAATACAATACAAAATCTGTTTCTGTGTTTTATATGAAATAAAGAAACTACAGACATCCTTGGAAAAAATATTAACCCACAGTAGTCAAACCTGACCTGAGTACCTTGAGTTTAGAAACACTACAGATGTTTAACAGCTCTCTCCCGCCCTCTGGTGGAGCAGCATGAGATCTACGCTGACTCTCCGCCTTTGATGCACAACCTCCTTATTAAAATTTCCTTGAGCTCAGTCTGACCTGATGTTTCTAACCTTGTGGGGATCGAGGGGATGAACAGCAAAGATATTAATGTCAGGCATGTGTGAAGAACTCGCTTGAGCGTTTTCTGCAACCAGGGCCGAATGGAGTACAGTGGGGCCCTCTCAAGCTATTGCCGACACCCTGAGCCCCACGCATCTGGTGTTAATCAGCAAAGCTTACACAAACACACACATACACAGAGACAGACACACACACAGTCACACACACTAGAGAAAATCCCTCCGAACTCCTGAACTTCCGACATGACTGGGGTCAACACACTTGCCCTGGATCTATTAGTACACACACCACAGCCATGTAATAAGAGCTGGTGAGTTGTTACAGTACAAGGAGTTCTTACACACACACACACAGACACACACACACACACACACACACACAATACATTTTAGACTCACTGCATAGTACAGCACATAACAAACCATATATGCAAAAACTCATGTACCCAAATGAGAGGTGTAAAGGACAGAAAAGAGACAGAAAAATGTGTTTTCTGAGATATTAATCTCTCTCTCCCTCACACACACATATAATAAAGATAAAGATTTATGACACCAGTCAATACACCACAAACGTCCTGATAGCGCAAAAGGAAAAGCACTGAAGTAGAGGCTTTCTCACATACTTAAAGGTGCATCCTTAAGTGAAGTTAACAACAGCATTATAATATTATTAATAACACCTGTGGTTTTCCCATGTTGAAATGTCTGCAGTGAAAAAGATGCATCAACCACAGTTTGTAAAAAGCCCACACATACATGGAACATTAATGACCATGATATTGCCACTGTATTAAGGTTTCATAAATAATGATTACATTTCTATAGTAATACAGTACTGTACAGAATAATATATTCAAGGGTGTTGTAAAGTGGTGGGGACATAGGGACTCAGATGAAGGGTGTGAAGAGACACTTAGCTTGCGAGACATCAAGATACGCGACGGGGGATCTGGGGGGACCTCCACCAGGAAATTTTGATCATTAAACACTTCATTTCCTGCATTCTGGTGAAAGTTTCTGCACAAATTTATAGTGGAAATGTTTTTATTAATGTAAAAGGAAACACCAAATTCAGGTAGCATGTGACATTGCAGTCAGTGCAGCTCTCTGGCATTCTGTGTTGCTTTCAGATCAGGCAAAAAGAAACTGTGTCAAGAAGTTATTAAAGTTACTGATTGGTGCTGCTTGATTTATAATTAAGGCAAGTTTTTTTTCAACAACAAGGTAATTCAAAGTGCTTTACATAAAACATAAAAGCAACAGGGAAATATAAGAAGTTTAAAAGTTAAATAGAAAATAAAAACAGGCTTTGCTTATTTTACTCCTTTGATTCCCCATCTCCCACTCTATCCCCCTTTAGTTACTTAGGGACTCTAACCCTAAGTGGACTCTAACCCTTCCTTAGATACAGTCGTTACTGTAAATCCAGATTGTCCACGCTACAAACTCTGGTAAAAGCAGTTGACAGCGGGCCCTGTTAACAAGTTAGAAAGTAGGGACTCTAATCCTTGTAATTCTACTTGGCCCTATTACCTGAGGATCAGCCTTGTGAGATGGTAGAATCAAAAGAGCTCTCTAAGCTTTTTAAATAGTGTTAACAGTAAAAGTTACAGTGCAGTGTAAGTTAACAGTCTACTAGTTAAAGGCAGTGGTAAAAAGAATAGTCTTCAGTCTTGATTTAAAAGAACTGACAGTTTCAGTTCAGTACCTTGTTTGTTTTTTTAGCTGGATAATGCACATTTGTTTCTATATTTTAATTGCACTGCAAGTTTTCTTAATGTGCAAATAAACGTCTCTAACGGTATTTTTGTTATATGTTGTATATTTGTTATTTAACTGCAAGCTATATTTCACAAGGTTTAACAAATTATGCTTTAAAAAATGGTGGGGACAAAATCAGCCATTTCAAAAAGTGGTTGGGACATTTCTCCAGTGTAAATGACACCTATGAATATACTATGTAGTGTGGACTACTATATTATAACGTTATGGTTACTGTGCAGGTTAGTGAGCTCCTGTTGAACACACCTTGAGAATAAAATGACATCCCTCTGTCCGCACGTCTATTCGACCTAATAACCCCGTTGTTATATCTGTACTGTGTCAGTTTCATGTCACCTGTCTCTGGTCTTCTCTCTTCAGGTGAGAAGTTGTGGAGTTCACTGGGCGATAACCTATCAAGAAATGTGAGGTCATTATAATATTACCTCAACTACAGTGAATTCATGTAGTATGGCTATCTTATTTTTGAATTCGGTCCTATGGTGTTGTGCAGCTAGTTTATGCGGGATTAACGTAACTTGGTAGATGACGTAAATTCGCGATAGTTTTAAGTAAAGATAGCGGCTTTTACCTGAGGTCAAACTCTTCGGTTAGTATTCTTGTAGTTTCTTCGTTCGAAAGAGTGAAACATACAGTTTCAACATACTTTTATGTAAAGCACAAACCTCACCTTTGTGTGACTTCAAATCGTTGTTGTTTTTCGAGTGCGTCATCTTCTTTCAACAAGCCGTGATGAGCTCACTGCCGCCCCCGGTGGCCATAATTATCATTATATATTATACTGAATTGATTATTTTACCCTTTCAAAAATCTATGTCAATCAAACACAAGCTTGTGTATTTATCGTAGTGACACACTCACACACCGAATCAAAAAACTTTATATAATGTAAACTTCAAATTTAAATTCTAAGTATAGATTTTATTACGTGGCTACATTTAAATGGCTGCTTTATTTTTTGTTTTGAGTCTTAATTATTTGTCAGTGTGCGAATTTCAATCCACATAAAGGTGTTTATTGATTATTTCTCTCTGGTGATGCAAGGTTTGCATTATGACTAGTTAGGAAGTACAGGTAAGTACAGTCACACAGTCCATATATGACACCCTTTCTTCTTGATTATAGTGAACAGCAGTAGTTTTGTGAATTAAGATGCAGACAGCAAAGCACAGGCAAGTGCACAGCATGAGGCAAAACACATTGGTGTTGTTGTTGCAGGGGGCATGCACGCACCGAGGTTACCTCAAAGTATCATTAGTGTTATTTACATCTATGCTTTTCCTGCTATGACAAGTTAAAACATATATAAAAATGCAATCACACTCACAGAGAAGCAGACCCTGCACAATATGGATGTTTTATGAAGTGCAAAACATGAATATGAGACAGGTGGTGATGTATTTTATTGTATCGGACAGAAAATATATAGTTCTTGTGTAAAATAGTTAATGCACAAATCTCCAGACACCCTGTTATGTTAGTGATATATGTTAAAGTAGTTCGAAGTTTGTATATTACCAGCTGTGAAGCACATTTAGCATAGGGTCAACTTTACTTTACATCAGCTATTGTCTTAAAAAGCCCTGACACAATGTAGTCTGAGGCTCTTCCATCGATGAGGCCTGTTCCATCCCTGTTAACAAACCAGCAGGGGATGTTTTCCCCATTCTTCACATGCCAGCTGAAGTCTTTCTGCCAGTGTCTGTGGAGACAAACACAACAATGAAGAGGTGTGTATTATGCAAAAAGAAATGCTCTTTCACCTCATAGGCATTATGTGTTCCTGTTTAAACTTTATGTGGCATGAGGCATGTGCACCTGGTCACATTGAGCTCCTGTCCTTTCACATACATGGTGGCATCTAAGTTCTCCTGGACCTCACCTAGACGCAGGTCTGCCACCTCAAACTCAACCCCATGGTAGAACTGACCTGAAGGAAAACTACATACTTCATATCTTTTGATTGTATTCAAAAGTAGGAATTAGCAAACATAAAATAGCGACACAGTCAATATATCATGATATGAAACTTTCTTGCAGTTCTCTACCTAGCAGGCCATGAACCAAAGCAGACAAGTGGTGGCTGTCCATGGTGTAGAAACCCAGGTAGTCTTGTTGTTCCTGGCGTCTCTTCCAAACCTTTGAGTGTCTGATGACCATGAATTTAACAGAGTGCCTCAGTGTTACTGTCAAGCTGCAGTTCTTAGTCAACCTGATGTCCATACTGGAGGAGAAATGAAAGAGTTGTGACCAATAGTTGACAGCGAGAGGCAAAATTGTGATAATGTTTCATTGTGATTCACAGGAGCCATGTGGCGTAAAGTGAAGATTTATTTGTCAATGTGATTTAAGTATAGTTTAACTCAGTGCAGGTTTCATAGTGTACATTTGGTTTTTGATTTGTAGTTTTAACTGCTCCTGTTTTCTGTTAGTTTGTATTTAGATGGAGCTTATTTTTGCTACACTGTAAGGTATTTTTTTAAAGGTATGACAATAGAACATTCATGTGTGTTAACATGGACTCTATTAAGTGATAAACACAAGAAATTAAATTATTTTTAAAATAATTTTTACCCTGACATGACCAAAATGACAAAATAACTCAATCATTCTGTCGTTTCAGTAGGCAGAATGTTGTTGTCCAGTAACTTTGGATAATATTAGCAAAGCAGCGTTATGGTGTTTTCAGACCAAAAGGTCTGAATGCCGCATTACTCACTTGGTTTCTTTGATAGAGGCTGCATCAGACCAAAGCAGCTTGAACTGCTTGCCATCGTGGAAGACTGATATGTCCTGAGTGCTCACCTCCAGCCTCACCCCCAGCTTCTGGTGGGTGATACCAAAACGGCCAAAGTAGGTGTGGATGTTACCATCCCGAAAGACTTTCTTCTTGCCAGTAATTTGGCCATTCACTACAAAACCTAAAAAAATAAAAGGTTTGCATTTGTTGCCCCATCTCATATTTCTCACAAAAAAGGAGACTTGTGCTCTATATTTGGAAAAGTGAGTGAGTAAGACTCAGGGCTGACCTGATTTAGGGTCTCTGACCAGGTTGAAAATGGTTCCTGGTTTGTCGTTGATGTTAAAGCACAGGGCGTCTTCTCTGTCAGGGAGCTCTATCATGAAATGAGGATCTCCATCCACTGCGAACGCATCATTAAAATATCATGTCAGACAGAGAGCATCACAATCAAACTCTAGTATATAACAAGCGTGTAATTATCTGTAGCAACAGCAACACAATTTGGTTACATTCCTCAGTGTAGCAGTGTAGAGCATACTCTGATTCGAATGATAGAAAATAAACAAAATTGAATAAAACTGAATAATTAAAATGTCACAGGTCATGTCACAGGTCACAGGCCACTAATGATGTTATTTTAGAAAAAAAAAAAAACAACAATCCTGATTCCTATGTTTGATGAGTCTAAGCACCAATAAAAACGTTTAAAACAAGATTTGTGGCAGGAATAATGAAAGCATAAATATGATAAAATTCTCTAATGTTCATACAGCTACTGCTGTATGAAAGCTTACCACTTGATGGGCTACTGTTACTGGAAGAATGGCCTGAAGAACCTGATATAAAAAAATAATAAAAGCAAACATCAGAAAAGTTCTCAGCCCCAGATTCATTAAGTATGCCATTTAATTAATTTAAAAGAGACTGTCGTACCGCTGTGTCTCTCTGCTTTCTGTCGCTGGTCTGTGACATTGGGCAACACACAGAACACCAAGTTAGTTGGATGTCTGTGGCACATTTTACTTTCACACACTGATCAACAGGTTTCTCATAATAATAATTAGTGTTACAAATTTGAAATAATAATAATTTCTAATAATTAACAGGACTAGGTCAAAACCTAGCATATGGCAGGAGGATCTAACTGAGGATTGTTCCCGCCTATTCCTTTTGAAAGAGCAATGGTCAACGGGGAACACTGGACAGACTAATGGTGTAGCTTCATCGATCAGTCAGGTACAGACTTTTGCCTTTTTAAGGCTGGCCTTGCTACGGTCCAGCCACAAAAATGAAATCATAATTACACATCCCCCTTACCCTCAGTCAGTTTATCCGCGATGAGAAGGCTGTATGGTCCGTCCTCACTTTCAGGCTTGGCAACCACCATGGAGGTAACATGGGTGACAAAGCTATATCGCAGGGGACATGTCCAGGGCCTTGGCTGTTGTATCGTTTTTCTCCTGCTGAGTACCAATGTCACTGTGACATAGCAAAAGCAAGTGGAGATTTGGAGCATGGTTAGCTCACTTGGTAGAGCGCCTGCCCCACATACAAGGCTGAGTCCTTAGTGCAGCGGCCTGGGCTCTAGTCCAGCCTGCAGCCCTTTGCTGCGTGTAGCCCCCTATCTCTCTCCCTGTTTCTTATCATTATTCACTGTCCTGTCTCTCAAAAATGAAAAATGCCCCAAAAAATATCTTAAAAGAAAGAGGAGATTAGTTGGTTGTTGAATAGTGACATGTGGTGCACTTGATGTGCAATAAAAAAGTCTGCACCATACAATTATGATTTTTTTGCTTATTTGAGGGTAAACTTGCTTCAAATCTTGGAGCATGTACAGGTGAAGCTGACTGACAGAATTCAGATGAACGAACCTGTTCTCCAGTAGCTGTCGGACGGTGAGGTAGGCCCACAGACGCTCTGAGAAACCCAAGATGTACTCCTGTTCTGGGTAGATCACATCCAAATCTACCACACTGGCCTTTCCCTGCACCCAGAAGTCCTCTTCAGGCTAGAGAAAGACAATAGATTAGACAGCAGCTATGACTGACAGGTAATTAATTGTAATCATTTGGTAACAAGACAAGCTAAGAGTCTAGAGCCATGCTAGTGGTACTTAGGTACAGCTGTGTTTTGACCTAATTGCTAATATCAGCATGCTAACAGGTCACAATAACAACATGCAGATGCTGAAGTAAAAATACCTAGACTTTGACAATCTACTTACATTAATTAATTCATAATATCACTCTTAACATTCAAGATTTAATCATGGGAACAGCCTCATATTAGAAAATGTGCGTATATTGTCTATTCACTACCATGATTATTATTATATATTATGAATAATGTTCATGTTCATTCATGTCGTAATTAACATATAGCTGTCCATTTCTCACCCCCTGAGCAAACACTTCAACCAAGAAGTTATCTATGTTATTGTCCCTCAGCCGACCAGACACCACAATCTCTGAGCCATTAAACAACTGGCCGAAGTGGCTTGTGGTCAAGAAGTCCACTGCGTCATCAGGATAACGCAGATCAACCTCCAAGAGCAGAGGGCTGGACACCTCCTCATAGAAACCCTGGAACAAAGACACATTTCATAAAAATCCCATATCTCCTTGGGGTTGCAAACAAATATCATACACTAAACTTGCATGGACATTGTCTTTGCTGTAAATCACTTTTTTTTACTCTACCTGAAGTTGAAGTGTTGCATCTGAACCCTCAAAAATTCTGCGGGCCAGTCCCTTGTTTTGTTTGCACATTACATCCAGGAAGGAGTAATCCACATCATTCCCAAATCCAAGACAATACAGAGCCATATTTCCTCCAATAGCAGAATGCACATTCTCCTGGATCCTCAGGGGGTTAGATTCTCCTTCAAACACACATACACACAGGCATACATGAATTATGTAAACCTTCATTTCCAATGAGACAGTTACCTGGCTACTTCTATGATTTTTCAAGAGCTTGTCAACATTTTGAAACTTTGAAAAAAATAAGTTTTTATTTATACACAACCTTTCAGTCCTAAAAGGATCTTCTCTCTGGTCTTTTTAGAACGAACAGGTGTGTCAGAAATAAACCACAAAGGACAATACCTTTTGATTACTTTACGACACAACACTTTTTCTTGCAAGTTTTAAGCGGTTGGATTTAATCTACATGACTTCTGACCTTTGAGAATGAAATATTAGAATCTTCTAAATGAACATAGCTCACCACTGTTTGGCATCCCATCAGTCAGTAAAATAATCATATCTGTACTCCTTTCTGGAAGGTTCTTATGTTTTCTTTCTGTCACCAGCATGCTCACTGCCCTCAGTACAGCATCATTGATATTGGTGGCTGAAAGGCAATGACACATCAGCAGATGAACACGAACATTTTTTGAGATAACATTATCATGGAGAAAATCAAGGTCAGAATTTTGGGAAATACACTTTTTTGCCGGGCATTAGTAGTAGTGACTTCCTAGAGTGCAACCTCCAATGACGACAAGAGATCCTTATGCTAAGCTACGATAACCAGTTGTGGCAGTAGCTTCATACTGAATTGGTAGAAAAGTGGTATCAATCTTCTTCTAACTCTCCCTTAACTTTTGTGATTTTCTCTCATGTCACCAATGAGTCATTAGTTCATATACTATCTTGACATTTCTTTTCACCACTAACTTTACTTTCCCTATTGTTTAAATAGAGAACTCACAGAGTAAACCCAGCTCATCATGCCAAATAAAGCCATCTAATAATATTATTATTCATCTGCAACATCTACATTTGCAGTTTTTTGGAAGAAAAGACATTTGACATAAAGATTAAAGTCATCTGACTCACTTGACTCTTGTTTGACAAAATGTAACATGTAAATATTTGGATATTCTGAATAAGGACAGAAACATTTGTCATAAAAGTTGGTACCGCGTGTTGTCCCCTTACATCCATTGTCTCTGAGCTTCCTGATGTAGGCAATGGCCTCAGATACATTTTCCTCTGTTGCTTTGGTAAGAGAATCCTTCCAGGTGATAATGTTATTATCAAAGAGGATGAGAGCAAAGTGGTCTTCCTCGTGGAGGTCTTTCAGAATGGCTTCCAATGCTTCACGTGTCTGCAAAGGTTCCCAAATTCACATGTGAAGATGTACAGAACGTGGTGCACACAGTGTGGCTCTTACCTACCCACAACGTCTTTTACCTGTGCAATCTTTCTTCCACTCATTGATCCGCTCCTGTCAATCACAAACACCACATTCTTTGGGACTCTGGCCAGGTCAGGTGGAGCAAAAAAGTGCACAAAGTATCCGTTTACAATCTGAAGAGAAAAACTAATTAATCTAATAACAGACTAATATGAAGATGCAGCATAAAGGCACAGCTATGCACAACTTCAAATGGTTAGGGGAGTAAACCTAAGATCAGCACTTAAAGTAGGAGATAATGCAAAAGGAAGCAGTGCTCCTGCTGACCTGAACGTCCCCTAGGCGCTCTTCTCGTTTCACATCGTACTTGATGATGAAATATCCGTTAATTATGGTGCCTTTACATCGTGGACATTTCCTCTGTTGCTCCAGTGTTGGTGAGAAAGAGATGTGTGCCTGAGAGACAAAGAGATTCATTTCACTTGACATTACTGGACACATCATGTATACTTAACAGATTATCATAAAGTTCTTCTAAGCCTACAAACAGAAGGATAGAAATCTTTACCTTTGTGTCTGTGACGGTTTTTTCCACCAGGAAGAGCAGTTCATTGGTGAGGAAAGTTGAAGTGGCCTCAACAAAAGCAATGCCCTGGGGCTCATAGATGTCTGCCACAATCTGTCTCTCCACACACACACACACACACACACACACACACACACACACACGTAGCCTTCTTTCATCTCTGAAGAATCGCAAAGATTAGATCAATATTGGCACTTAAAGATGCTGAGGCCCTTATTCATGCCTTTGTTACATCTAGGCTGGACTATTGTAATGTACTGTTCTCTGGGTTGCCTAAGAAAGGTTTGCGAGGTCTGCAGATGGTCCAGAATGCTGCTGCATGTATTCTGACTGGATCATTTAAATACATGCATATAACTCCTGTGCTGGCCCCCTGTTCAGGTTAGAGCAGATTTTAAGGTTTTGTTGTTAATGTATAAAATAGTGAATGGCCGTGCACCATTACATCTGTCTGATCTTTTAAATTCTTATGTGCCTACACGGTTGCTGCGCTGCCACGGGACAGGACTTCTGACTGTACCAAAGGTTAGGAAAAAAACAATTGGTGTGCGAGCCTTTTCGTTTCATGCTCCCACATTATGGAACAGTGTTCCAGCAGATGTTAGGCTGGCATGTTCAATTGAGGTTTTTAAATCAAAGCTTAAGACCTACTTATTATTCACTGCTGCGATTGAGTCCTAAACGTTTATCTTAGATGTCTTTGTACAGTGGTATTTACTTTTCAGTGTTTCAATTTAAATTTTATTGTACTGTTTGTATTTTGATTGTATAGTTTTTGTAAAACACTTTGATTTTTGAAAGCACTCTATGAATAAATTTATTATTATTATTATTATTATTATTATTACATGCAGACATAACATACAGAGGCAGATCAGGCAGATCAGCCTAAAGCTTCATAAATGTTAACACAAAGTCCTCACACCTTGCATTCCTAACGCTGGAGAAATGGAGTGGTTTTTCAGCTTCTCCTTTCCAGGATGTCATTATTTAGAAAAATAAAAGAGGAGAGTGTGTTCAACCTGAAACTCCTGCACAGGTTGTTTGGGTTTAACTCGGGTTAGAATCTCATATCGGCCCAGATTCCTCTGAAGGAGCTCCTCGTAGTTCAGAATGAAAGTCACGTTACTTTCAGCTGCCACGTTGACAGACACTGAAAACTGCTCCATCTTTCTTCCAGAAGCCCTGCAATGACGTACTGTATTATTTTAATGTGATGTTCACACCACCATGTGTTCACACCATAACGTGTTTCAGTCCAACCTACTTGACCAGTCCAGCAGTCTGTCCAGAGGAAACAGCCTTCTCATACTCTTTCCTGGCTTTCTCTTTCTCCTTCACCTCCCCGACATACACCTGACCTTCAGTTTCCCTGTGAGGCATGAGGACATTTGTCAAATATAGAGAAAGACATGGTGAATGGTCAATGTCAAATGTGCAGAATTTTGACTGACATGCTGAAGTTGGTGATGAAGGCGGTCTTGGGCAGCTCCACTTCAAAGAAGATTTCCTGGGAGGAGTTTGCTTTGTTCAGAGCCTTGGTGGTCATGACGGTGTGGGCGAAACGAGACGTCACAGTGCAGTCCACTGTCACACTGTACACCTCCACCATCTAAAAGGATGGACAGACAGATAAATATGGCAATTCTAAAATGTCATGTCATATTACAGTAAACTAACAAAGGACCGAAAGGGACTGGCAGTCTATTGTTGTCTCTCTGCTGAATTCTATACCAAATGTCATGAATAATGTCCTCAAATGATTTATGTCATAAAACACTGAGAGATCACTGTTCTGTAAACACAATGTAAAATGAAACTATTAGAAGTAGTCATACTGGCAAACGCAGAAAGGAATAAAACACAGATGGACAAATCACTTCCAGCATGGTTATTGTCTCCAGTAAAGCAAAAAGAAAATAAATACATGCCTGTGGACACCGGGGAAGAGCGGAAGAAGCATCTGGAAGCAATGAGGTTTATAGAAAATGTGGAAACAGTAACAATACCACTACTGTGAGAAAGAAGCTACCAGTGATCTTGACCATGGTCTCATGTGTATTGGATCATTATATCCAGGTTAACCAATTAAGTTGCCATGATACATTAGCATTAATGTATAAATTCTTTGTTGTTAGGAAAAGTCATGCCTTTTGATTCTAGCATTTTATGTCATTATAATTTTCCCCTTACATTCAGAGAGATTGTGCTTCTTTTCTGTAGAGGAAAAAGAGACAAGAATATGTAGTTTATTTTCACAAATGTTTTTGAGTTTTGTAATAGGGTGGAAACAAAAACAAATGACATATAAACACAGCATATAAAGAACAATCAACAAAATAGTACTTTATGCTTTTGTTAGTAATCGTTTTAAGCTGAGTACCTTTATTGACCTGGTGCCCATGGCGCCTTTGGTCTCCTGGAACACAACAGAGTATGATTGCATGGTTATTGAGAAAGGAAAGGCAGGACTGGAAAGGGATGTGCACAAAATGTATGACTACTTGCCAACTCTAAACTTAAGATTTCCCGGAATGTTTGCCATTAGTTACACCCTAGCATGCAACGTTTCACAGGTTTATAGATTTTGCAGAACAGTTTTGCACCTACAATGAATCAGTAGTTCCTATCTCAAGTATGCATGTTTTGATGATACTTGTCATTATTCTGATTAAATTGCCACCAAAATTTTCAAGAATGTTAAACAAGCATTGCTGTAACACACCTGGAAAGCAAGGTGTGGACCTAGAATCAGACTAAAGACTTAAGGCAGGCTTGAGAAAATAGTCTTGGATGTAATTAAACAAACAAAAAAAGTGGCAGGATAAAACAGGCAGCAGCAAGCAGGCAAGGTAAGCTGGTAGGCAACATAGAAAATCTGGCATACTGGAGTGGGAAACTAGTGGACGCAAGAGGAAGGGAGGAACAGAAGACAACGGCAAAATCTCCCTCTTGATCAAAATGCATTATTTCTTGCACTGTTGTGCAGTTCTTCTTTAATGGGTTTGTTGCTGTTGAACTTTGGTGCAAAATTGTTAATGTTTTGATCTCAATGTGAAACACAACCACCAACAGACAATTTCAAGCTTTGTTGACAGCGTGTTGACAGCGTGTGTCAAAATTTAGAAACAAATTTTCACATTTTCATGTGACAGCAAATGTTTCAAATAAAATTTTAGAACAATGTCTAAACATAAAAATGGCACAAAAGAACGATGAGAGTTGATGAAGTGCTTTCTTTTCTTTATTTTTAGCGTGATCAAAATAATTTGCACTTGAGACTTGACTGCTGTAAGAACAGTCAGAACTGAAGAAGTCCTTTGGATGAGGGACGAAATGTCTTCCAGTATCTTCAACCAAGTCCAGTTGCCCTTGATTTTAACCTTCGTTGGATAACTATGACCTGGATGACTGAGAATCTTCATAGACAGTAAAGTCACAAGAAATAACAAGGTTTTGAAATGCAAGCCATATAACTACATGGTTTGTTTTTTAACAGTTTTTAACATGAATTTACCGTCAGCTGAGCTGTCACTATGTTGCTCAGGTGGATGACCAGGTCATCACTGCTTTGGCATCTTTTCTTTCCGTTTCTGCGATGCTTCTCAGTTTTTCTGCACAGCCTTAGTAATTATGCCCTCTAAATAGATTTTCAGGGAAAAATACTGTTGTTGCTGCCAGATATTCAAAGCATGCAGTTCCTGCGAAAAGATTTTTGATGGGATAGATCTCTTTCGACGGCAGATACAGGCTTTTATGAACAGTATGTCAACTGACCAGTAAAAGACATTTGTTTACATGCAAATACTGCAAGTGTAGCATATTTTAAATACCTCTGTCAGAGCATCTCTACGGGAAATGACCAGCGCTCCCTGGGCCTGAGCTGGAAGCCAGATGAAGACACTAACCCACAACAGCACGACTCGGCACACCGCTGGCATGCCTTGGATATAGAAGAGTCTCTCCGCTGGCATGACTGAAAACAAGTGTGGAGGGAATTCGAAGGGATCAAGTCTCCTCATAAGACTTACACTCCACCCATATTATGACAATTGAAATTATGCTCATCTGGTCCTGACTTGCCTATCCGGTGTTCGTTTTACTGAATGCAAGAGTGCAGATTTTAGAGTTCTATTTTCCTATATTTATTTCTTCTCCACCTTTATTGTCACATACATGTTGTGAAATTCATTCTCTGCATTTAACCCGTCCCTCAAGGGATTAGTGGGCAGCCGATGTGCAGCAACTCCAGATGTATATATGAGTGCCACTGACTGTGTGTACCTAACATGTTTTCCCACACCATGGGAACCGGAGCACCCAGACACAGGGGGAACATGCAAACTCCACACAGAAAGGCCAGGACGACTGTGGTTTGAACCCACGACTTTCTTGCTGTGAGGCCACAGTGCTATCGACTGGACCACCGTGCTGCCCAGATAACCACCAGTGTTGATATTTCACATAGTAAAACAATATTCTGAGTCATTAGAGGACTTTTCCTTTTGGACTGTTTCATCATGAAGAAATGTTTCGCCACCACCCTTTAACATTTATTTGGTCTCATGTGATTGAGGAGTCCTACAGTAGACTTGACATGAATTGTAACAAACCTTTTTATCAGCTTGAAAACAGTTTGGATCCTGGAACTGAGTTGGCTCCTCAGATCAGACATAACAGGATTAAAGTAGGGTGTGTCATTGTCATCATACAAGGATTTTAGCATTAGCAAATTTGCAAGATAATAGAGGTTCTTAAAGTCAAACTTCTCTCGGGGGAGGGGAGGAAAAACCAAAGCAAATACGTGATAAATATTAAACTAAACCGTCTTTTCTATGTTACTAAACAATGTTGGAAACAATGAAAAATAAACTGAAATAAAATCAGTAAATCCATCTTTAATAACTGTCCCATTTATTTCAATACACGTGATTGCTCCCAGTACCTCTCAATATTTCGGGATTCTTATAATTCCTGCAATTACACTGACAGAAACTGTGAACTTGTCCATACAATGCCGTGTTGATATGAAGCCTGTTTCCCTTATAATGTTAAAAGTATTCATGGTGTAATTACCGGCAGATTTGAATATTTATTTAAAGAATTTGATGTGGATGATTTCTGTGGTAGACATTGATGTGTAACCTTTTTTTAAACTGTCTTAAAAAGGCCATAAACAATGTAGTCTGTTGCATCTCCATCAAGGATGCCTGTTCCATTATTGTGAATGAACCAGCAGGGAACATTTTCTCCGTTCTTCACATCCCCCCTGAAGTCTCTCTGCCAGCCTCTGTGGACAGAGATAGAAATGTCATGTAGACCAAATGATATGTTAAGTGCACATACAAAACAACAGCCATTTAGTCATTTAGGACACATTACATGCAAACTCTTCCACACTGAGATAGGACAAACTTCTCTGAAGCATTTAGTGTACCTGGTTACATTGAGCTCCTGTCCTTTCACATACATGGTGGCATCTGGTTTCTCTGGGACTTCACCTGGACGCAGGTCTGTCACCTCGTATTCAATCCCATGATAGAACTGACCTGGAGAACCATTTAAAGTAAAAAACATTTTAAAATATAATTATTCTGGTCCTGTATCTGTCCAGTGATAACTCCGAACTGCAGTAAAATCATGTGATATTTATTATACTGTAATGTCCCATATTTTTAAGTACGCCTCCGTTTCTACTGCATGAAGAAAGATGGTTAATGCAGTCAATTAATAAAATCTGGTTTTGACTTAAGAACTACTGTAAACCACATTTTGCCGCAAACCACCACAAACACCATTGCACCTTAGGATGAAAACAAAACCAGTGTCTGTTGTAACACTGCTTCCTGTCTTTGTGTGTTTTCCCACCTTTATGATTGTCTGTCCTGCTATAATGCGTGTCACCTGTGTCTAGTTCCATCTTTTAGTCCGTGTGTTTCACTGGTCTTTCGTCATTCATCTTCATCTCCTTGTCCTTTTCCCATTGGTTCCCTTGTGTTGGATTTCTACCTGTGTTTGCTAGACTTCTTTTGGGTTGGAATTTAGATTTTTGCCTGTGCCGACTGGATTTGTTTGGACTGTCCTTTTGACTCATGCCTGCCTCTACATCGCGTCAGCCTATTCACTTTTTGTGTTATTATAAATTAACTCCTATTAAACTGAATTGGGTCCAAATCCCTTGTATTTCTGTGTCTGTGTTTGGCTAAACATGACATAGGTAGTGTACAGTGCAATTTTAGAGTTTTTGCAGTGAAAACAGCTGCCTGCTGCATCTAAAAACAACACTGAGAGTGAATCAAAACAACAAACTGAAACTCAGTATAAAGCTCTAAAGCCAAGGGGAGCTACAGATTCAGGTGATACTTTTCGGTAGGTTCATAATTAAGAGTGACCCCTATCACACTGAGACATTGATTTCACATTGTTATTTGTTGTTGAATTATAGGGTGTATCAAGTACTCCTGTTAGCATGTCTGTCACATTTGACCAATCCCACTATAGGAAACTTGGTCCAGATATTCTGGCAACTTATCTGAGGGCTGACTGATTTTGTTGGTGTCAATTTATGTCAGTATTTTAATTATTTTGTGTGAATTCTGAAATTAAATCTACATAGCCTAACTACTTTTGATCTGCTATGATAGCGTTGTGGGGGAGTGGCTTCTTGGACTCCAGCTTCAAATGTTTTCTGAAAACCCTGAATCTTTTAGGAATATTTTTCATTTCACCTCAGTCTCTCTCTCTGGACTGGTAAATCAATGGAGCAAAAGTTATATTACTGTGGAAATATCGCCATCTAGCCTGAATGTCTGCCCTAACATTGTCATAGGGAGTTGTTTTCTTGTATGTGTCCATTCACTCCAGGTTTGTGAATTGCAGCTGTAACACTTAACAGAAATAGCCTAATATGCTTTTATTGCACACATATGAGTTGGATTTCAACCTGTGTTTGGACTGTCCTTTTGACTCATGCCTGCCTCTACATCGCGTCAGCCTATTCACTTTTGGTGAATAGGCTAGAACTATTAATATCAGCGAGTTGTGATGGTACTTCGGCTGCAGTCTTGAAGGGCTACCATTGGTTTTACAAGCCACCAGATGTCACTGTGTTTGCTAAGTAAATGTTCTTGGTCTAATATTCAATTCAATATTGACGACAACATTTACTTGGCACTGTTGGGGATCCTTCATTTACTATTAGAGCAGCCCAGATTATTATGGCATGGATTCACATGTAGCAGATTTGTTAGCTAAACATTCTGTAAACTCTAATCCAGCATAGTATAACAAAAACAGGTTTCAAGATTAGTAAAGCTGTTTATTTAGAATTCCTACACTACCTATGTAATGTGTGCCTGGAGTGCCTAACTTAAAAACAGGAACATCAAACAATTTTTGACTCTTTTTAGGTGGCAGGAGTGAAAATGAGTGATCTCAACATTCGGTTGCGTTTATGGTTTCACAACAAGGAGACAGTTGGAGAATAATTAGATACAAAAGAGGATGTAGGTTTTACAGGATGATTTTTTCCCCCTGGGCAACTATCATGTTTTTCACAAATGATGTACAGATGTACAGATTTGAGGCATTCTATCATCTCCAACAGCTTGCAATAATTGGGGGGGGCTTCCCAGGAGAGCATGGACCCCCCTAGGTTTGGGCGTCATGTGTGTCATGTTGTACCTAGCAGGCCGTGAACAGAAGGGGATAGGAGGTGGCTGTCCAGGGTGTAGAAACCCAAGTAGTCCCGGTGGTATGGGTGCTTCTCCCACACTTTGTGTAGCAGGATGACAAACTTGACTGAATCTTTTAGAGTTACTGTTAGGCTGTGATCCTTGGTCAAGGAAAGATCCACACTGGAGGAGAGGGAGATGATAATTATTCATCCTGAACTTGGTTTTATAATTCATATTATTCATGTAGTGTGACAGTTATCTTTTACTGAAGGAGATAACAGTGTGACGGCACAGCTACTCACTTGGGTCCTTTGAGAGAAGCTGCATCAGACCACAGAAGCTTAACCAGTTTTCCATCCTGGAAGACTGAGATGTCCCGAGTGCTTACCTCAAGCCTCACCCCCAGAGTCTGGTGGACAATGCCAAAACGCCAAAAGTAGGTGTTAATTTTACCATCAGGGGGAATCTTCTTATCGCCGATGATCTGGCCATTGACCAAAATACCTGAGGAAACAACACTGGATTCAGTCACTCACCGTTTAACTACAGAGTATGATTTACTGTCAGTGAATACATGTGAAGGAGAAAAATAAGAAAGTAACAATGATTCCAAGAATTGCATCTTATACTTGTCAAGGGGTATGAAAGTCATGCTGATAATCAGGCTGACCTGATTTTGGATCTCTGACCAGGTTGAAAATGGTTCCTGGTTTGTTGTTGATGTTGAAGCACAGAGCGTCTTCTCTGTCAGGGAGCTCTATAATGACATGAGGATCTCCATCCACTGCAGGTGACACCAGAATATCAACAATATGATTTTGTTTTTGCTATAGTACGGGCTCAACATGCTGATGATAACATTTCAACCAGACTAAGAGTCTTCAGCCATGCTAGAAACTGTTAGGCTGTACTTAGGCACAGGGCTTTAAACTAAATCCTAAGGTCAGCATGCTAACATGCATACAATGAAAGTGTTAACATGCTTTAAAAAACATGCTAATGTGCGTGTTAGTACGGAAGCCCTAAGTGGCCATTCATTCAAATATTTTTTTTACTCCCGTGTTAATGAGACAATTTTCTCGTGATCTAGAGTTAGCAAAACAGTAGTTTAACACAGGGGTCGGCAGGGACATTTCTCAAAAGTAATTTAAGTATCATGTTCAATGTGACTGGTTAGGTCAGTTGGTAGAGTGCAGAACTCATAGTTGGGATTGAGTGTTTGATCCTCATGGTAGACCAACTTTTTATATATAGATTATGAGAAAGATAAGAGTATACACACACACACACACAAACAACGAAGACTGTTGCTGGACTATGTGCATCCCTGTGATTGGTCCACATCCATCAACCTATGGACTTTTCATTTCCCCATCATTCACAGGCAGAGATAATTCCTGTGCTTTTCATTCAGGGGAATCCATTTAACGTTACACATTTCTGACAACTATTTCCAAAACGTTGAAATAGCTGTCAGGAAATGTGTGATTGGATTCCCCTTAATCTCTTCATAACAACTTTGTTGAAGACGATAATAAAAATAAAAAAACCCTCACAAAATAAGAAAAAGAAACTCATGAAGAACAGGAGTCAAACACACAATCCTTGGATTGCAAGCCCTGTGCTCTACCAACTGAACTAACCAGTGACACTAATAATCTGAAATTATCGTAAAGAAACACAGAAATTATCCCCTTATCACGGGAAAACAACACTCGCTACCTCGAGATCATGAGAAGATTATCCCGTTATCAAAGGAAAACGGAGTAAAAAAATATTTGAATGAATAGCCACTTAGGGCTTCTGTATGGTAGCATGCTGACATCTGTCGATTAAAGGTAGGGTTGGTAAGTTTGAGAAACTAGCAAGAAACAGCTAGGTTTTGAAAGTATCCAACTGAAAAACTTCCACCCCCTCCTTTCAGAGCTCCTTGCAAAGCCAAACCCCTAAAACATGTGCACGCACGTTGCGGACTCACCGCTCAGTTTGAGCTGGAGATCAGAGTGACGAGCGGAGAGCATTTTTGCAATGGCGCCTGAATCACGGGTAGAAAAACACCTAATTTTATCATTATGACAGTAAACAACTAACATGACTGTTAGTATTTACTATCAAGATAGATAGCCTGTTAATATTGTAGAGGATAAAATAGACTGACTTTGATTCAGTAATGAGCTGGTAGCTAACTGTTAGCAACTGATAGCTGTTGTAACATTAGGCAAAGCTAAAAACAGGTTGATACACATTTTACAGTTACCATCAGTTACACAGCACGAGTGTGAATTTTATACATTATTGTGCACATTAGAGCTTCCACGATGACAGCATTGTTGGCTCAGGGTCTGAGGAAATAGAGGCAGAGGACGGGGAGGATGAAGTGCAAACAAAGGAGCTCTAACAAGAGGACCTGCATCGAGCTTCAAGCTCAAACAATGGCATATGAACAGGTGTTTATATATATTATAATACATATATTAGTATATTATCTCCAAGTGTAATTGTCTCAGAGTTTATCTAGTGGTTGAGTCAAATTCCCCCCTATGCCCTTTGGGTGTCAAAAGTGACAAAAAGTGCTATATAAATGTAATCCATCACTATTATATGTTTATTATTTTTTACTGATTACACCACCACTAACTAGAGCTCTGCTTCAGCCATTGGCTCATCTGTGTTATGAATGTTGACCTGGCGTGTAAAGTCCTGTAAGAGAACAAACCCCTATTCAATAAAAATATCTAGCCCCGTGTGGTCACTCAGTTGGCACCATCGTTGAAAAGCCACGCAGATATCGGCTCCGGTCTGACCTCTCCCGGCTTTGTGGCGTCAGGACAGACTGAGTGCGCATGTAGGCGGCTCCTGTAGCAGCAGGGCTGGTAGCCATGGTAGCGAGGTAGGGTGACAGTCAACCAGCCAATAATTGGCATTCGCTCCAAATGGATCTGTGTTTATTGCAGCCCTGAGACGACTACAGACACCACAAATGTGGCTCATCTGTATGTTCCCAGCATGTGTGTCTCTTGATTAAAACACTATCAGAGATTGGTATGGGCTATATTTGCAGTTAAAATCGCAGGACAATTGATGATTGAAAGGCTTTTCAAATTCCAGTCACTGTAGAAATAACATCTGTATATAGGAACATATTGAGCTGGAGAACACAGGGCTTAAAGTTATCCGGCGCTGTGCCGGAATTCCGGCGCAAGGTAGTTTTTGTATTCGACAACATATATAAATATGTCGCTGGAAAATATTCTTGCTTTTTTTTTTTAACTGTTGCGTGTTATATGTGTGAGGCACCAGTCTTCCTCTGCACAGTTGGTGGCTCGCTGTCGGTGTATACACGAAAGAGAGGGGACTGGCACGTCCTGATTGGCTCATTAGCTATCGGAGGCCGTGGCCAGCACATGGTAGTTTCTATTTGGTCAATTAAGGTGTCACTCAAAAGGTCAACGTGTAGACGCTTTTTTGTTTACATGCTAGCTGTAGTTAGGCTAATATAAAGCGACGCAATAGCAGTCCGTGTATATTTATTGATATAATAATGTATTTTGAACTAAATATTTTACTGGATTGGATCGTCGGACCTTTGCCAACGTAACAAGGCCATTTTTGTCGGAATGTAATCCACTGGTGGAGTACAGCTTCACAGATATGTGGTGTCAATTTTGATAAGAGGCAGTGCTTGAAGTGGGCCACCAATACAAGTAAGTTACTTCTACATTTTATTCTTTGGCGTTCCGGGACTTTTCTTGCATGGGCTCTATGTGGCGCACATCTGTTCCCATTCTCGTCTGTTTGCTAATCTCTGTCGGAGGAGACAGAGCAGGTAGCTCATGCAGCCGTGAGCTCCCATGTGAATGGGGAGTACCAGCAGGGCTGGGCAATAAAACAATAATGATAATTATCGCAATATAATTTTCCTCAATAAAAAAACATGTTTAATAAGTGTTTGATTTAATTCATTTGAATCAAGAACAAATCAGCACTTTAATTTGTTGAGGAGGGTCTGAAAAAATATTACTTAATTGAAATTTACTTAACAAATCTGAGGTAAAACATTCAATTATGATTAAGTGATCCCACAGAATGACAGTGTAACTGTGGCACTAGCTATAAACAACGTGCTAACCTCGACAACCCAGCTGTATTTTAACATTAACTTAGCTCTTCTTATTAACTAGGCTTCTTACATGCTTGCTAATAACTTTTTAAAGCTGGGTGTTGGACAAATTTGTGCAGTGGTGTTCATGAGGGAGAGAGAGGGACGAGGGAAAGATGTGCTACGCAAAATAGCTACGGCGCTCTGCAATCAAATACGATTTTAAATAGGCCTAGCAAAAAAATAAATAAAACAAAATCGAAAATCAATATGTGGCGGTCAGCATTGATATTGTGGCGGGACGCCGTAAATGAATGAACGTATGGATCCACTGTTTGGCATTGAGTGTTTGTTCTGACCATAAAAATAGTTTAAAAACACAATTAACCATCTGGTTTCTTCAACTTTCACTCAGGAACAAAAATCTGCCTTACAGTGATTTTACATATATCATAAGAATAATCGATATTGAATGATGTTAAATGTTTTATCGTGATAACATTTTCGGCCGTATTGCCCAGCACCTATATTTTCCGCTTCAAGCACTGATTATAGGTGTTGGCAGAAAATGTTACCAGAATGCAGGAAATTAACTGTTTAATGCTCAAAATCTTCTGGGAGACATATAGGCTATCATATATTTCCACACTAAGTTTTATCAAACCAGTGTACAATTATCTTCTTGTCTTCTTCTTGTGAACCCAGAACTGTGTTTCTTCATGTTTCATGAGCTAAGTGCATGTCAGACCCCTAATCTGAGTCCCTATGTCCCCGTCAGTTTTCAACACAAAGTTACAGCTTGCCCCCTACCCTCCATCTTTGTCGTAAACCCTGAACACATTTCAGGCACAGAAAATTTTCTTGCTTTAAGCCCTGAGAACATAGGACCCTGTTAACATAGATGGTCCTCATTTATGAAATGTGCGTACACAAAATTTCCAGCGTTCCAGCGTTCCACGGTAACTTTGAGATTTAACAATATGGACGTTGGCGTATGGGACGCTCAAATCCTACGCCAGCTCAGGAGGTGGTGTTCATGTAGGCAAGTTTTGAGTTAGTGTGGAAATGCGCAAAAAAACTATTCCTAACACCACAAAACGCACTGACAAACTAAAAGATGATATATTATGACCCACTGTTAAAAAAAGTAGTTATAAACTTCAGTGTTTATTTTTGTGCAACATGGACTTCAATGTTTAATTTGTGTGACTTTACCAAAGCATTTGATTTGTAGGCATATATTCCTTCATTTGTAGTTTATTTGGGGTTGCTTTTATATCAGTGTATATCCAAACAAAAATAGGCTGTGACACAAATAAAAGTTGCAGGTCAAACTGACTATATTATTGCCTAAAAACGGAAAAATGCACGCTGCAGATTCACGGAACCAGCCACAAGTCAGCACCCAAATGCACATTCAAAATGCCATCTAAGGTTATTTATTATTTTTTGTCTTCAGTGTTTTGCTTTTCTCATTTTTAAGAAAATAATAAAATGTTTCTAAAGCAAAACGAGATTGGTTTGTCTATGTTTTTCTTGCTCAGCGTTTGACTCAAACAAAATGTAAGCATCATCCCTTGATGTCGCAATAGTAGGAATTGTAGCCGCTTCAACGCAAAAACTATAACTGCACTTAAACAGAATGATGGATGACAGTTAGGATAAATCTGTAGTCAGGCCTCAGCTATACCCAGTGGAGCCTGTGCGTGTTACCTGACGTTTCAGGGTTAGGCCCGGCAGGTGCCGGTGGGCCTCCCCCAGTCTGACTCTGACTCATCTTCACAGCCGAGACACGCCTTTTTGAGGTGATCTGTGAATGGGACCACTTTATTTTTTTACCTACAATAAAGAACAAGAAAACGCATGCTTAACTTGATAAATGTTCTTTCCTCTGCTGGAGTGCGCTTCTCAACCCCCACACTATTAACAGTCGGAACATGGGTCCATATTTGGTTTTTGTGGGCGCCTTTAATCCCACTCTTTAAACTCCCAAATAAAACAATTTTATTTCTTTCCACTTCCCTGGTGATGGTTCTCGATCTCCACCTTGGAGAAGTTCCTCTTCTTTGCCGTCTTCCGCGGGTCCATGGTGTAAAATGAGGGCGTGGGGGAAGCGGAAACTTGAATACATAGGGCATTTATCAAGGGCAGGGATTGCGTACACCTGGATTTCAAAGGTACGCACAGCTTCATAAATCACGCGGTGAGAGGAGTGTAAGCATGGCTATTACGCCAACATATACGCCTGTTTCTACGCAAGAATGATAAATGATGGCCAATGTGTGTCGGTAGTCCATCTAATAGTTGTCAAGATATTTCACTCAAAACCAAAACCCTGATATTCGCCAATCTACATACAATCTGCATGTTGAGATATTTCACTGCATCGATAAAGATTGGTGGTGCTGAAGGAAAGGTCAGTTCATTAGGACTCATCATCAAGATGCCGTGGTGGACTGACAGACCAACTGACTGACAGACTGACATTGTCATCCCTAGAACCATGCAGCTAGCAATGCTAAAAATGTACTTACCAAAATATGTGGGTGATTTGTGGTAAGAATGTATGTACGTTGGTGAGCTTGCAAATCCATGTGCTAGATACAAGAAGAATAACATTCAAGTTAAAAAGGAATACAGTGAAATGACTTAAACCCAAAAGTCTTTTTTTGCTATATGGTAAAACAAATGTCTGTCTTACCCACTCGTTCTGCCTGTTGCCTTTGCTCTGTCATGAAACAGATGGACAAAAAACAACTTGGAACATTCCATAGTTTAAAATGGAGCTCCAGCCTCTGCTGGTTTTCGTTCGTACTTGCGAATTACAATAAGGTTTTGCTTTGCAGCCATTTTCAGAATAGCTTGTCCAGCATAACTTTTTAATCTTACCCTCAGTAAGCTTGTCAGCAATGAAAGGGGTGTCTGGTCCATCCTCAGTGTCGGGCTTGGTGACCACCATGGAGGTGAGAGGTGTGACAAAGCTGTAATGCAGAGACATGTCCAGGGCCTTGGCTGTGGCGTTGTCTTTCTCGTCTGGGGCACCACTCTTGCTGCAAGAAGGAAAATATACTGAATATGCTAAAATATACTTGCAACACAGACTCTGGCATTCAGAAAATGGCACCTATGAATTAATATTACAAGATTTATCATGAGCTAACACTGTTTTTCAAGAGACCAACGGGAAACAAAGACTGTCAAGCTAAAGCAATTTCGGTCTCAGCCTTGAGTGAAATGACTCTGACTGACCTCTTCTCCATTAGCTGCTGGATAGTGAGATAGGCCCACAGACGCTCTGTGAAATCCCCAAAGATGTACTCCTCATCCGGGTACATAGCGTCCCAGTCCACAGTACTGGCCTGACCCTGCACCTTGAAGTCCTCCTGAAACTACAGGGGGAGAGTATAAGAAATGAACAGATTAATAAACACACATCTTCTCTCCACCTCTGCATTGTCTCAAAAAATTCCGAGATTTCTTTTCTCCTCACCCCCTGGCCGAACACTTCTACCAAGAAGTTGTCCAGGTCATTATCGATTAGCCGACCGGCCACCACGATCTCTGAGCCATTAAACAACTGGTTGAAGTTGTTGGTGGTCAAGAAGTCCACTGCGTTGTCAGGATAACGCAGATCCACCTCTGAAAGCAGAGGACTGGACACCTCCTCATAGAAACCCTGGGAAATATGCATACACACATTGTATTACAAGTGTTATAATAAAGTTTTATTCAAATTTTATTAAAAATACTGATAAGATAAGGAATGTGGCATAAGTGGAACTACTGGCTCAGATATGTATTCATAGCCAAGAACTCTCCACCTGAAGTTGAAGTGTTGCATCTGAACCCTCATAAATTCTGCGGGCCAGTCCCTTGTTTTGTTTGCTCATCACATCCAGGAAGGAGTAATCCACATCATCTCCAAACCCAAGACAAAACAGAGACATGTTTCCTCCAATAGCAGAACGCACATTCTCCTGGATCTTCAGGGGGTTAGACTCTCCTTTAAACGCACACAGACAAGATGCAGAGATGTATGAAACGAATATAAAGTTCATTGATCAATGTTCTACAGTATATGCACGCCCACCATAATTTGGCATTCCATCAGTCAGTAAAATAATCATATCGATGCTCCTCTCTGGGAGCTTCTTCTCCTGCCTGTCTTTGACCAGCATGTTCACACCTCTCAACACTGCATCATTGATGTTGGTTCCTAGAAGGAAAACACACAACAAATTGAGAAAAAAGTATAGTGTGAGAGTGTATTTCCATTACTGAGGGAGTAAAGATGACATTTAGCCTAAAAGCTAGTGTCTCTTGTTTTTCTATTAACCTCCTAAGTCTTTTATGTTTTGGACATAGACCATGGCTTCAGACACATTTTCCTGTGTTGCTTTGGTAAGTGAATCCTTCCAAGAATCGATATTGTGATCAAACTGGATGAGGGCAAAGTGGTCGTCCTCGTGGAGGTCTTTGAGGATGACCAGCAATGCCTCTCGTGTCTGCAAAGAGTTATGAGGTCAGAGGTCAAAATGTGCGCATGTGGGCGTCAATAGATCAGAACCACATTAACAGTCTGAACAGTCTCTCACCTGTGCCATCTTTCTTCCACTCATTGATCCACTCCTGTCAATCACAAACACCACATTCTTTGGGACTCTGGGCAGGTCAGGGGGGGCAAAGAAGTGCACAAAGTATCCGTTCACAATCTGAAGGGAAGAGAATCATAAAGAGCAGGAATATACATGAATGAATGAAGAGGCAAAATGAGAATGGCAATATTTGTTTTTCCCTCAAATAAAGTTGATTCATTTCATGTTGTTGAGCAATCTAATCACAGATTCATCAATTTTATTTTAGAGCTCAACATTAATATGAATCTGTATAGGGTTACATGTAAAGACTGATTTAAATGAGCATTCTGCAGACACTGAGTACAGTATTTGGTGCCAGCTGACCTGAATGTCCCCGAGGCTCTTTGCTCGGTTCACGTCATATTTGATGACAAAATCTCCATCGATGAGTGTTCCATCACAACCCAGACACTTTCTCTGCTGCTCGATAGTTGGTGAGAAAGAGATGTGTGCCTGGCCAATGGGATATGTACGATCAGTTAAGCTCATTCTTGGGTGACCAATTTTTTTGCATGTTAAGAAAAGGGAAGTGAGACGGAGGTCATTTTGAAAACTGAGTTGAATTCAGGAACTGCAAGACAGGCAAATAATCAGAGACAATTTGTTAAAGGGCCTGATGTATCACATACCTTTTTGTCTGTGACCGTTTTCTCCACCAGAGGGAGCAGTTCATTGGACAGGAAGGTTGCATGGGTGTCAACATAAGAGATGCCCTGAGGCTCATAGATGTTTGTCACAATCTGTCTCCACACAGGCAAACACACACACGCAAACACACACAAACACACACAAACACACACACACACACACACACAAACACACACACACACACACACACACAAACACACATCATTTGTAAGGTAAACCACTCATTTAGAATTTGTGATATCACAAGGAAACCATCAAGAGTTAGGATTTTAACATGAACATGGATTCACCTGAAAGTCCTGGACCAGTTGTTTGGGTTTCACTCTAATCAGAATCTCATACTGGCCCAGTTTTCTCTGAAGGAGCTCCTCGTAGGTCAGAATGAAAGTCACGTTACTATTGCCTGCAATGTTGACAGACACCGAAAACTTCTCCATCTTTCTTCCAGAAACTCTGTAATACAACACAGACATAATTGACTGCCTATAAGGTAAAATGATCAATTTAGGAAGTCCATAAAAATTTAGATACTATACTGTGGTACTACAATACTGGGTTTATGTATTTTTCATCTTGACTGACTCACTTGACCAGTCCAGCCGTCTGCCCAGAGGAAACGGCCTTCTCATACTGTTTCTTAGCTTTCTCTTTCTCCTTCACCTCCCCAACATACACCTGACCTTCAATTTCCCTTTGAGGCACAAAAATGGAGAACGACATTAAGCAAACACTAGAACACTGGACTATATCATCAAGAAAAATTGGCCTTAGTGCACATCTGGGAAAGGAAGGATATGTCACACACAAATGGTCTTAATGCGGGTCTAAATGTGGAGAGAGTGAAGACAGACTGACATGCTGAAGTTGGTGATGAAGGCGGTCTTGGGCAGCTCCACTTCAAAGAAGATTTCCTGGGAGGAGTTTGCTTTGTTCAGAGCCTTGGTGGTCATGACGGTGTGGGCGAAACGTGACGTCACAGTGCAGTCCACTGTCACACTGTACACCTCCACCTGAGACACAAAGAGAGGGGGGAAGAGATGGAAAGACTCAAACACTAATGGATATTTTTTAGCAAAAGAAAATGAAATGAATTTGTTTATTTAACAGGGGCAGTTAGCTGGATAGCAAAATTTCATCAGCAGTCCTTGTGCAGGGAAACCCAGAAAAGAATAATGACATCAAATCGTACAGGGTAAAAGCACTTTTAGTTAAAAGCATTACATCATACAATGTATGACAGCAAATATATGACAGCAATGATACCACGTAGGCTTTTAGTCCAATATTTTGAGTGTTCTATTGTTGTATTGTATTGTACTGTACATGGGCCTAAGAAAGTTTTTTTTTCCTGCTTGGGATCAATTGGAATATTTATTTCAAAGTGATGGTTCCAGCATGTGCTGTGACTGGTGCCAAAGAAAATTATAACAGCTTGAAATACAAGACATTATGTCACTGATTCCACTTTGGGAGTGTTGTGATGAGGGTGGGTGAGTCAATCTGGGCGCTGTATGATCTAAGCAGGGATAGTGTGGGTATTTCACGGACAGAACTCTTTTTCAGTCAGTTCAGTTATTCTTAATCTTATTTTTATCAGTCTTTTATTGACAGTCTATTCACCTTTTCTTTTATTTGCTGACAGTTGAGGACCAAAACAGTCTGAACAGTGTTGTTAAGATGTGTTTACTGGATTCAAACAGAGGGTTCAGAAATTAATTTTGTGACCAACAAGTCATAAGCATAACAATGGGCATATGGAACCTACATTTCATGTGAATTCTCATTGCTTCCTTTAGCTTTGCTCTACCTGCCTGTAAGTAATTGCTACTGTAATTCCTATATTCCCTCTGCTATATAGGTTTTTTTCTTATATTTTATATGCATGTATTTGTATTTATTACCAGTTCCAAATGTAGTTTCTAAGCTTATAGTCTTTTTACTTGTAAGTTTGGTGACTGATTTTCCTTTCTTCTCCTATCTATTGTGCGTTTATTTGTTGTACTGGCTCGTGAGATGCTGCATACGATTTCCCTTGTTAAATAAAATTGTACTGAATTGAAAACATTGGATAATCTAATTTCATCAGTAACATCAACAGAGATACAAACAGTTCATTGACCTACCGTGGCCTCATTTGCACTTCTTTTCTGTAACAAAAAAACAAAGAAAAAGGAGATTTAGATTTAGATAATCTAATTTTAAGACTGCACAAGGCTGTCAGTTTTAACTGCCACTGTTGTTTAATACTATTTAATTGAATTATCTAGATGCCTCTTTAAAAATAGCCTTATTTATTTTGTTTTAAGTTATGTAAGTATGACTCAATAACCAATACTGGTATTTAGCAATGAACACAAGTTTGGTAAAAAAAAAAAAAAAAAGGTACAAGCAGAAGGATTTTTACATTTTCCCCATAATATGAAAGGACTCTAACAGTTTCTGCCAAATACCTGCAATGATCTGGCAGCTCCTCTTGTCTCCTGAAATACAAACACAGCAGGGTGAACCAACATGTTGGCAACATATTAGAAAGAAACACTTGCATAACCTAGCTTGTAAGACTTTACTTTCTGTGTTGCACACATACATTAATTATACACACTAGTGCTACTAAATGTGGAGCCAGATCAAATAAATACAGGCAAAACTGAACTACAAAACGATGTGATTACAAGATTATAAGATCAGAGTACAAAAACATCAGTGAGGGAAGTTACCTGCGGAGCTCCATGGTACCCGGAGATGACCAGAGCCCCCTGGGCCAGGCCGAGCAGCCAGAAGCAGGCGCTGCCCCACAGCAGCAGCAGTCGCACACCCAGCAGTCCAGACATGACCAAACCTCCACTGAACACTGGCTCACTTCACTGCTGAGAAAAACTCTCTCTGCCCAAGGGGAGGGACACAAAGTGTGAGTGTGTGTGTGTTGTCCTGGAGTATTGACCAACAGAGCTCAATGTGCAGCAGGCTCTGAGGTACAAACGGTGCTTGTAAGGCTCAAAGTAAATGCCTGCACTCATGAAACTATGTGACTGCTGGGTAGGACACCAAACTTGCACCTAACTAGATGTTTGGAATCAATCAAAGCATCAAGTCAAATGAAAAGTGGTCTTAACGTTTGTGAATAATCACCGGACATGAGACTAAAACGATTAATTTCATTGATTGATTCATCAACGTCTGATAGATTTGCTCCACTCACAGTACTGTATCAAAATCAGACAGACCCTTGTATGTTTTTTGTGGGAAGGCATAGTGCATGTAGTTGAATTAGACCACTATGGTGTTATACAGGGACAAACAAACGTGACTACAAAGTGTGTTTGAAAGTAAATGTGAGCATCATAATGCACATAAAAAATTGTGACCACACTCATCTCTACAAATGTAGATTTAATGTTTGGCTGATTATCAGAATCAAGTTTATTGCCAGGTAGGTTTTACAAACAATGAATTAGCCTTGGTATCTTGGTGCATCACAATAAACATAGTAAATAGAAAATATAAAGAAAGACAAAGCAAGTACTGCAAGTCAAGACAAGAAGAGGAATATAATTAGTAGTTCGGCCACTCTCAACCTTGTGAACAAACATATTATTTTCCTGCTTAGACCAGCTGTACTCTGCTCTGGAATCTGACCCAAACACAGACAGGATCAGGCAGACTTCATCAGGCAGACAAGATTAGTTAAATGACTTATCAGATAGGCAGTGGATAACTGTATAGTTAGGCAGGCAAGGTTCAAAACCCGAAGGCAGCATTCCAACAGGCAAACATCAAACAACATATCCATTAATCGGGCAAAAGTTCAAACTGGCAGGCATAAATTGGTTCAGGGCTGCTGGAAAAAGAATACAGGTTCTGGCTTGAAGGCAAATGTATGATGCTCAAAGCAACTTTCACAATCTGGCAAGGAGAGAGCAGGAATGGGAAGTACCTGGAGGGCTGGTGAGGGAGAGTGGAAACAGGTGTGTATTTGGGTGTGGCAGTCAGGTGATGGGAAAAGGAGGGAAAGTCCGAGGGCATCAGGGGCAAGTTCAGCGCCGACAAAACGTGGAACCGTCCATGCAGGCTTTGGTCGGCTTCACTGTTAGATCTCTGGCTTACCCCCTAGAGAATGATAGTGAATGTGTTTGAGGATTTGGGAAGGGCTCTGGGTCTCAGGGCAAAAATGAGTAGCCTTACAGACCCCTGTTTCTCTGTGTATTGTGTATATGCTGTGCATATTACAGTACTGAAACAGCCACAGGTACTGGACTTTTTTCATTTTTGTAAAGCAGAGCATTTGATTTATTGATTGCTGTTGGGATGTAAAAAGAATTTCAACACATATAACAAAAAATGTTTCCGAAAAACATTACGTACCCCAGCTTTAACCTGCAATAACAAATAGTTAGGCCACTTCTCCTCTGGTTTCTGTATGTTTATGAAGCAGATTCAAAATGCACTGGGATGTGTGCCAATTTGGTTGAAACATTTTCATCTCGTCTTTGCGTCATTTCGGGCATCTCATTGCATCTTTCCATTGGCTTTGAATAAATATGCTCACAGTTTCTGAACACACAGTGAATATATACACTCTCCTTTTAGCTCTGCTGTGGTCTCCACCACAAACATGTCTTTAGTTGCTCAATGCTACAGTGAGCTCTGTCCGCTGTTTGGGGTGGAAAACATCTACCTGCTCCTGTTGAAAACAGCGCTTATGAGAGTGGTGAACACTAAAGTTGTGAGATGGAAAACCGAATCATTGAGCTGAGAGACCCTTAAACTCTCTGTATAGCTAAAGCGAACAGCAGTTGGGTTTTAATTCTCTGTGGGTTTGTCACTACGAGCAACCATTTTGACCATTTTCACATAAATGTTGTCATGTAATCCATAGTTAATATAAAAATACTAAATATAGAAGCTTTTAATTACCATGTAACATTGAAATTGCCACATTGTGGACCCTTTTCTCCCCTGAGGATCTTGGGTCCAGGGGTAGTTGCCTGCTTTGCTGGAATTTTCTGTAGTTTATTTAATTAAAACTTAATAAATATGAATTTAAAATGACAAAGGAATCATCACACTATAGCTGAATTTAATACAATAAGACACATCATAATTCATAATTAAAAGCTACATGTACAACTAACACCTTTGTTCGTAACACTTTCCTCTAGGCATGGCACACGCCATCCCAAAACCTCAAAAACTTGGAAGTTTGAATAATTTAGAGGCACTGACTTTGTCGGTACATAAGAACTCGCATTGACTTTCAAATCAGACTAAGATTAATCATCATATGCCTGCTATTGATATTCTACTTCCCCCACTCATTTGCATGTGAATGTAAACAGATACTATTTGATCGTGCTGTTGAAATGGAGGTGTGCTTTCAAGCCCTAAATACATCCGATAGAAAAGACCCACCTTTTGTGGTTCACAACTGACAAATAAAAAAAATTGAATTCCAATACAGGGGAAAATAATTTATTTAGGAAAAATGTTCAGTTAAAAAAATGAACAAATAAGCAATTGTTTTAGCAGTCTTTGTCAACACTGATAAATACAGGTAAAAAGTAATTTACAGCTCATCAGCTACATGAATCCAGTCCTAAGCCACATCTGATAGTCAAAGATACTCAAAGTACAATAACTGCTTACATAAATGTAAACACACACCCACTGGCACATAGCTAGCCTATCTTCCTCTCTTAAATCCAGATTCATTAAAAACTTTTTTTTGCAATGCATGTTATGCAGCATCACCACTGACTCAGAAACCTCAAGACTTCAGCGCGTTTCTTCAGTGCTATCGTTCCATCATGCAGTGTGTCTACTTGCTGAACACACTAGCTCCAGGAGCTCTGGTATCAGCAGGCTTTTCCAGGGCCGTCTCTGTCCCCGTCCTCACACCGCTGAACACAGACGGCGCAGCTTTTCCCATACGTTCTGAACACAGACACAGATATATATGGTCAGAAAGGCAGATGCTTAAAATGCTAATTCTACTTCACGCCTTTGAGGGGAGGTATGTAAGAACACAAATGTCTGCAACAACTGTTTCTGTTTCATTTCATTGCTCTGCTGGTCTTGTGTTTAGGATACAGTGCTCTCGGGAGCTGGCTCTCATTCCCTGTTGAATAATATGGAATTTCATGTCTTTACAGTAAAAACTGCCTCTTCCAGCTCACATGATTATCAGGCAGATGGTATAGGGTGCCATCCCTCCGAACCAGCAGGTCATTTGTGCCTACTAGTATCGGATTTCTTAAGAAACAGTGAGATAATAAGGAGAGTTGCACCTTAGTATAACTTCTATAGCACTTTATTATGCACATGCAAACACACGAAATCACAAAGCCTATACTCCCAAGTAATAGTCAAAAGTGATTTTCGGCTCACTGACTTGCACATCTGTATTTGATTCCCTTACTATTGAGGCCTACAATATGTGAAAAGTTGTGAACAGGTAGGGCTTGTATTAACGGCAAAGTACTCCAGTACAGTAGGCTATTATACAAATAGCCTACTGAACAAAACTGTAGGCCTACTGAAATTGAGTATTTATTAGAGTAAAAGTTTTACATTCCACCAATGACTGTTTAGCACGACTTCACTGTTATCTTTGCTGTTGAATGTAGTAAGCTGCCAAACTCATCCCGCCTCCTGTCTGCGGGGTTAATAATTACAATTTTCGTGACAGCGGCCAGATGCACAACAATAACTAGCAGGTGCAACTTCACTAAGAGCTGTATGTTGTCCCTTTGTGATAAAGGATTGCAGGACATATTGTACCTCTCCCTGGTGGTCTAGTGGTTAGGATTCGGCGCTCTCACCGCCGCGGCCCGGGTTCGATTCCCGGTCAGGGAATGCACTTTTGTTAATGAGTCGATAATATACTTCCTCAAAGAAATGGCAATGTTTTAGACTCATTGATGTACTTCCTCAGTGATGTATGCACTAAATACATGGAAAGTTATTTTTCATGCTAGTTTCTACTTTTCACAGTGTGGTATTTTAAGTCGAAACTAGCATGTAAAATGATTTTCAAAGAAGAAGAATTTATTTTCACATTTCCACAAATCTATGTTTATTAATTTCTGTATTTCAAAGCATTTATTTAATAATTCAATTATGCATTAAAGTATTATTTATTTCAGTTTTGATTTATTTCATTTTATTATTCATCCATTCAAATATTTATAATTTTTTGTGTTTATTTCAGCATTGTTTGATGTGTTTATTATTGACAAAGAAGTCATCTTTTTTGTTTTTTAATGGTAGAGGCCAATGAACCATAGCATTTGGAAACAGTGACATGTAACATTACTCAACATCAGTCTCTTCTATTTAAGTTGTTAAATCACATAGTTAAGCGATATGAAACTGTCAAGAAGTGTGATATTCTACAGGCCAAGCAGGAATAATACAAACAAATTCTAAGTGGAGAAACATTACATTTTTAAGGATGGTACAATGTTAACATCTGACACGGTGTTACGTCACTTGTCTTGTATTTCAGTAACTAACAGCATTAGTAAAGGGCTTTACTCACCACACTCCACCATGACCTCATAGGTCTTGCTCTTGACCTCGCCCTTCAGTCCCAGTTTACTGCGAGCTCCTTTCAGGTCCTCCTCCTTCATTGGGGGACGCTTTTTCTTCTTCACCTCGCCTGGCTGGGACAAAGTAAAGAAAGAAGGAAAGATTACAAATATTAAGGGTGAAAAAGAAAGCAAAGAGTGTTAATAATTGGTCTTCACACCAAAAGCACTGTGTTCAATTTCTGTAAACAATCAAAACAGCATGTTTGATCTGATGTAGTTTACCTGTGACATGGTGATTGAAGTTGGTGTACTGATTCCTCTTTCCAGTGTGGTGGATTCAGTGGTTGTTTTCCTAGCGTGTGTCTTTGTCTCCCAGCAAGCCTGACATTATATATAGTCCTGGTCCAGACCCATATGAGTCAGTCAGACCCCCTACCCTCTGTCCCACTCTGGCTGTTGTCAGTGTGTATAATTAGGTGTGACGTGAGGGATGGTACAGCTGGAACGGGTCTCCCATCTTTTACGATAAGCTTACAGGCCAACAGCTGATAATTCCGGACACAACACAAGGGGCTGTCTGCCTCCTCCTCCTCCCATGCTGACCCTGGCAGAGATAGCCCCTATTTTAAATGTTGGTGTAAAACTTGGCATTAAAAGGGGAATAAAGAGTGTCCACCGCCCAGTAACACCTCCCTTGCAACTCCAGTGGTTGGGACTCTGCCTGCTCATTGCTGAAACTTGATTTAAGCCTGAGAGAATGTCTTTTAGGGTCTTTTAAAAAAGCATTTCAGATAGTTAAAAAAAAAGAACTAATAAAATGGAGGATGAACCAAAAAGAGAACACTGTCCCACTGTCTTGTTTTAGTTACATAAAGGCCACTGGTGTGCTCCTAATGTGAGTAATAGCCAACAAGCAGTCGTCAGGTCACATCTGGCCTCACAACATAAACCCCAATAGATCTTCTATATGTACCAGTAACTAATAAATAATAAAGCTAAAAGTAATAGCTCTAATAGCAACAATCAGGTGCTAAGCAAACAAATAAATAACAACAAATATGCACATCATTTTTGCAAAGGCAGGTCTACATTAAGATAAACAAATTGAAGTGTGGATTGGTGTTGAACTTTAGCACCTATAACAATTTCTTTCTGCTGAAATCCCTAAATTTTTATGTGGATAAATCTATAATATTTTAAGATGTGTTTTGTTTATTTAATGTACATAATATATGTGACACTCCATTTCAGATTTTCTTTTGTTTCCATTTTGTGTTTTTGTTTTCATTTATTGGATTCTCCTGAGGACAAGGTATATCATGGGCTGAACAAGTAAGCAAACAGTTAAGACAGTAGCAGTCATAAGACTTGGCCAAGGAGGGTAAAATCGAGCAACTGATTTTACACTCCTTGGGTAACTATGACCTGGATGAATGAAAATCTTCACAGGCAAGACTTGGCATCATAATCTGAAATTGAGGAGTTTACCATGTGGTGATGGACAAACTGACTCACTATTTTAATTTGAAGGACAAGCTCAGTGACGCAGAGAGAATCTGAAAGCCTGCACACTCATTCAATCACATCACAGCGCCAGGATAATCTTACACACTGAGGGGATAAATCTTTAAATCGGGACAGAGTCCTGATCATAAGTAGAGGTATTGTCGGTGGATGGGGGCGGCCAACCCAGGGTCTTTTTGTAACGTAATGTTTGTGTGAGCACAAACATTTAGTAGAATGGCTGATCCGGCACCAGCGAAGCAGACAGACTCTGGACTTTTGGAGCGAGTCTGAGGTCATGTAAACATGGTTAATATGACCTTGTAGCAGGTGGGCGAAGCTCTGCCCCCACTGTGCTGAGAGTCTAGCTCCGCCCCCGGTCCTGATTTAAAGATTTATAAACTTTGAGGAATGAAAAAGATCATATCATCTCACTCCTCACGTGTATGATTATTCCCTATGAATCTGGTCAAAGTTGCCATATTACCCATCTGCTGTCTCCCAATAAAATACACGTTTGTGCAGGTGTTATATATAATACTTTCCAAGTGCACAGCTTAAGGTAATGAGCATTACTAAGTCTGTTAAATATCTCTCTCAACCTCCTCTAACAACTTTAACTATGATATTACAACTGTACTTGCAGACAGTGTTGGGATGGAGGGAAAAAACAAACACAAGAAATGATATGCTAGTCTCAGGCAGCAAGTGAGATCACGGCATACAAAGTGGAGAAGTGGTGTTTGTGTTTTAAGTGAAGCTGACGAAGCCGGGTTGTAATGTATTTTGTAAGCGCTTCTGAAGGTTGACCATGACTCCTCCTTACGGTAATTTGTGAGAACCTATAAGTGGTCTACTAGCTGGACCTATTTTTGGACACACAATCCTGTCTGGAGGTCGGGTGGCTGTAATGGCGACTGCAACTCTGGGGGAAGTGGTAAAGAAAGAATCAGCAACGCCAACCATTCTGTTTACTCCATAGACTGTATATGGTTTAGACATACAATGTTTCAGTTAGGCAGTGTCATTTTCCTTTCTGGAACATGTCTTCCCTAAATCATACCTTCCCTGGTGGTCTAGTGGTTAGGATTCGGCGCTCTCACCGCCGCGGCCCGGGTTCGATTCCCGGTCAGGGAACGCGATTTTTGTTACATGCTTCCTCAAACAAGCGATGTTTTAGGAAGAAGGAAATATGACACCATTATCGATAAATACAAACAAAAATAAATGAAAAACCGCACAAATAAATAATAAATAAATGTTTTTCTAAAATCTCTTAACAATATTGAAACACAAACGGCAGTAGAAATAACTCAGTAATCAAGCTAGTGTATCACATCCTTTATTGGAAAAGCATTTATACTGATAATTTATCAACAATTTATCGCCATCACTTGCCTTTGTAATCATCTAGTAGTTTCACTTTGCAAAATACTAAAAGCCCTCTTTTCTGGTTAAGCAGAGTTTCCATAACTGCTACAAGATGCTGTAGTTTCCACCTTTAAACATGCCAAAAATATCTTAATGAAATCATCACCATTACCATAGTCATCACAGTCACAGCTTATGTCACTCTCCATTTATTTTATAGGAGGACCAGCAGCCACACGACTATGCACACATGCATCCAGCACACGCCCGTACATACAGGTATATTGTATATAGCATATACAATGTACACAAAAAACCCATTCACACTTTCTCCAGACTGTCTGGTCCATAGTCATTCAACAGTTTAGAGGTCTATGCATGTCACATTCTTAACATCAGAGCCTGCTGAATGCTGCTTCATGACTGAAGATCTGGAGCTCTGGATTGAACAGTAAAAAAAAAAAAAACTAAATCAAACAAACAAAACACCTGCTGGTAATGCTCAGGCACATTATTGTAACTACAACAACAAAATAAATCACACAAACACAAAAGGAAAGATGAAAGTTGTGATGAATGGGAAATTGTGCAAGAAATTGTTCCCAATTCTACTCTCCCTGTTGGAGTGAAGGGATAAAGAACACTTTTGGAACAAGCATAGTCACCTTTTTGGCCCAAAAATAACACTCAAAATGTATACTAAAAAACCCAACAACTCAAAATGAAACAAAAGACATTCAAAGACAAAGAACACACAGTCAGAGCACATTAGTAAAACCGTCACAAACAACTGCAGGCTTGTGTTTACAGACAGACAACACTGGCTGAGCTGACATTAGAAAGGTGTTGCAGTGTGTGGTGCTTGCAGTGAGGTTTAACAGTTTAACAGAAAAGACTCAGTCAGAAGGACAAAGTGGAAGGCTGCTGCAAGCATTAATGTGCTCCCTTTGACACAGGTAACATGAAATACAAGATATGCAGCGGTAAAGTCTGTAACTGTGCCGGAGTGGGTTAGATTTGCATCAATACAGTGATTCAAACATTTGTAACGTAAATTTTGAGGTGTGCCCAACTAAACACACAACATATACACACACACTCAGATATGCATTTCACAGGCCATGGTGGTACCTCTACATGTGAAAACAAAGGACAAAGTTACCATGGAATCTACATCAGGAATACAATCACTTTAGAGGACAAGTCAGACCACGAAATGTAACCAACTCCTTCAACAGTTTTGTTTGCATGCAGTTGGGTCTGTTGTGGCCATTTGGATTTGTCCAACCAACATGATCCTGGACACACCACCACTGAAGTCCAGACAGTATGAAACCAATGCTTTACCTATTATACGAACATAAAGGATTTAACAATATTATGTTGATGGCGAGGTTCTTTTTCCTAGACAGTGTCTTTAAACACAACACTGGCCCCAGGAGTGCCATGTTAAAATGCAACAGTGATCCAAAGTGCCCGGTTAACTGCAAAAATATCTCCCAGCGTGTACAATTAAATCCCAGGTTAGACACAGTTTATGCAGAAGTCCTCCAGGAGTCAATAGTAAAGGGAATTCAATTGCAGTATATTCTTCTGTCATCAAAAGGGCATCCTATGTTTGAAATGATCGTGTTAACCTGTAAGGCTGACACCAAATCTGTGGAGGTACGGGGAATGGGTATGTGGGCCTGTGAGGTGAACAGCTACCAGAGGACATTTTATCATGGCAGTTCATCTAACCACGCAGCTCAAACAGGGATCCCCATGCGAAGCTTCTTCTTCTTCACTGTCTTCAGGCCAGTGAGCCGACGAACGTCATCCTCATCTGACTCATCCATTTCATCGTCTGCTGAGAAAAGGATCTGGGGGGAAAAAAAACAGGAAAGAGAGAGAGACATTGTTAGGCCAAATTGACTGAGTGGGAGACAGGGTCATGGCAACACTATTTAGGGCTGTAAGTACTGATTATTTTTCAAGTCGATTAATCTAACAATAATTTTTTTGATTAGACTTATTTTGTGTATCCTAAAGAAAAGAAAGTTGCCTGTTACTTGATTAACATACCAAATTATCCAATATAAATATCAAAAACATGTCTAATCAATAAATCAATATTTTATTCAATCATCCTGATGAAGCACAAGAAAATAATGACAATAGTAGTATATCTTAAAATGAATCAAATTTCCACGTCACTGATGTGTTGCGATAATAACAATGTCAGATATTAATTAGGCTACTTTATTTCAATATTGAGTAATATGCAGTGCATGATAATCACATGTACTTCATCAGTGTGGGGCAAAGAAAATAACTGAAACGACTCAGACTGTACGGTCACAGATTGTCTGTAATGTTGATTCAGCTGTTTTCTCGATCATACGTGGCCGTTAAATAAACAAGAAAAATGAAACCGCCAAACGTTAGATGACACACGGTGTAACGTTACGTTACCATGGCAGCAGCAGGGCTGAAATTCCTTTAACATGAAGGCGACAAAGAAATGCTTAGAAAATACATTTTAACGGACTACGTATCCTCATGCTG